CCACAGCACCAGGTGGTGGTGGCACACATCTTTAATCCCAGCGCTTAGGAGGCAGAGGCAGGCGGATTTCTGAGTTGCAGGCCAGCCTGGTCTACAGAGCCAGTCCAGGACAGCCAGGATTACACAAAGAAACACTATCTCAAAAAACAAAAACAAGTTACTTTCTTACCTCAAGACCAACCAGTTTACAGTTACAACCTGAATAAAGCAAAACCAAATTCCAACAACTCAGCCTCAGAACTCGGTATCCAATGCTGGGATGGGATTCCCTCCAATCTGGACTCTCCCCAAAGGCTTGTGTCCCTTCTCTGGCTCCACCCTCTTCAGCACGCACCTTGTCTTCTGGGCTCAGGCTGGTTCCACCCCGCAGCTGCTGCTGTTCCTGGTGGTCATCCCCTGGCACTGGCACCTACAAAATGCTGGGGTCTTCTGCTGCAGCTGGGCCGCGCTTTCACGAATAGCCTCCCTGGGCTCTCTTCTCCAGCCTGCCACAGCGCCAAGCCTCAGCTGCTCCTGTGTGAGCCTTTCATGCCTTCAAAGCAGTCTCAGTTGGGTGGACTCTTACACTACCAAGTTCGCGGCCAGCATGAGTCTCAACCTTGCCTGCCTCTGGAACACAGCTTGCTAACTCGGGGGAAACACTTTCCAAAAGATTTCACCTCAATAAATCACAGCTGGTTCTTCAGCCCCAGCTGACCAGCATCAACTTCCCAGAAAAACAAAGGTTTTCCTTTAGTGGCGCTGGCCTCTTGTGAATCGCAGCTGATCCTTCAGCTCCTGCCGACCGGATAGCAGATTCTTCACACAAGAGGCCGGCAGTCTTTGCTTCCCTCTGAACTTCACAAGCCAGGCCCCTGCGTTCTGCACTGCCCTTGATATTTCTGTCTTTCAAGCTCCCACAGAACAGCCCTCTGAGCTCTGAGCACTCAGTGCTCTTCCAGCCCAGTGCCCAAATGTCACCACGGTCCACCAACATCAAACACACACTCTCAGTCAGGTCTGTCAGGGATCCAGCCCACAATCCTGGTAACAGTTCCCGTCTTAGGCTTTTTACTACTGCGATGAAACACCATGACGAAAAGCAGATTGGAGATGGAAGAGTTTGTTTTGCTTACATTTCCAGGTATCGGTCCATCACTGAGGGAAGTCAGGGCAGGAACTCAAGCAGGGCAGGAACCTGGAGGCAGGAGCTGATGCAGAGGCCATGGAGGGGTGCTGCTTACTGACTTGCTCCCCATGGCTTGCTCAGCCTGCTTTCTTATAGAATCCAGGACCACCAGCCCAGGGATGGCACCACCCACAATGGGCTGGGCCATCTCCCACTAATCAGTAATTAAGAAAATGCCCGACAGGCTTGCCCACAGCCCATCATTTTCTCAGGTGCAGTTCCCTCCTCTCCGATGACTCTAATTTGTCTCAGGTTAACATAGAAAGGAGCCAGAACACTTATCTTTGCTAGCATTTTTTTTTTTCTGTTGACTCAGAAAATGAGTAGACTCTCTACCTAAGCTCTTGTCCATCTCCACACATTAGCCAGTGTGTGGGGTGAACCAGCAGCTACTTGAGCTTCTGAAATGATGTACTACTCTGCATCCATCAAGACTTCTTTCCTTTCAGGGATCCTTGTGAGTTCCAGACCAGCCAGTGAGACCATAGAAAACAAACAGAAAACAAAAGAAGTCACACAGGATACGTATCCAAGAGCACAGGGTGGGCTTCGAGAGACCTTGCCTCAAAACAAAGTCTTTCTTTTTTGAATGTGATGGAGACTGACCCTAAAACCTGGTAGACCATTGTCCTACCGCTAAGCTCTACCTCCGCCTTTTTTTCTCTTGTTTTTGGAGGTAGACTCTCTGATACCTGTTTGTTCTTCCATGAAGGTACTGTGTCTGCTTCATTGGTGTAAGGCGAGGTCTTCATGTGCTTCAGGCTGGACCCTGACGACACAGCGGAGGCTGACTCTGAACGTCTAATTCTGGCTCCACCTCCTGAATTCCGTGTGTGCCGCCATGCCCACTTTGTCTGGCCCTGGCACTTAATCCAGGACTTTGTGAATGCCAGGGAAACACTATCAATGGAGCTATGTTCCCGGTCCAAGAGAGCTGCTCTCCTAACGCCCACGTCCCCTGTACACAGAGCTAAATCCTCAGTCTCCCGACTGGATTTTTAATATGTCCTTTTTTCTTTGGAAGTGTATATTTGAATTATATTGAAACTAACATTAGAATAAAGTGAGCACAGTGACACATGGCTACAGTCTTGGTGAGGCTCTGGGGTCTATTCCTAACGCTTGAAAAAAACCAACCTCAGTACAAGTTATGAGCTAACAAGCCGTCTACAATGTGGCCTTTTCTAAATTGTCTTGTAACTATTTATGATTAATGTATTCCT